TTGACATGGAAAGAAACTCTAGAATAAAAAAGTTGAAAGGACTTTATATCATATATTTAGCAGGAAAATTTGAAACAGTTCTAATTAGGCTGAAAAAAACAGCTTTCTTCAATGTAAATTACAAAGGTCATATATCAATGTTAAGGAAACATTACCACTAGTGTTTGAAATCCAGCACATGCAAACATAACAGACCAGTTCATTTTAAATGTGTGTGTGTGTGTGTGTGTGTGTGTGTGTGTGTGTAGAAGGCTGTATTACATGTATTTGAAATGAAAAATACTTAAAATTCCGAGTCCATAATGTTGTATACTACATTCTTGCCAATCCAAACTAACTCCTTTGAAACATGTCACTATCTACACTCAAATGAATTAATACACTTAATTGTAAGTACAATTAAAATTTTACAAGACAAATTTTTATTATTTTTCTTCCATTAAAAATATGATTAAATGCATCTTATAATATCAAGTCAAGAGAGTTAGTGATTTTTATTTTTTTATTTTATTTAAAACTTAAAGCTATAGGGCTGTGTATCTCAGAACTGAATAGGGCCTTCCAGAAGCTTGGGCATGCAAGTAGTGGTAAAGGTGTGCAGAAATGTGTAATTGAGCTGGTTATTTCTAAACTTGAAGTTTATAAGTAATATTTACATGTTTTGTTTGATTTTTTTAATAACAATCATTTCTCCTAAGATGTCAGTAGCTTTTTATTTAGTTGTTTTCTTTTAAATGGTGTGGTATGAGAACATTTAGCAAAATATAAATAAACATTTGGAATTATAAGTATGAGAAACAAATGTACAAGTAAGGTTTCCTGGTCTTGAGGTAAACAATTAACATATAATTTCTTTTGTTAATTGAAGTTGATATGCTTGATTTTATGTCATTTTTACATTAAAGAAAATTTGATTGTTTGAAAATAAAAGGAAATTGCTAGAGTATCTCTCAGTCATGCTTGGATTAAACACATGATTAATGCCTTTTATTTTAGAGTTTTTATTCTAAAATAGCTTAGAGTTCCTTGAAAAAAAAGCAAACTATTTCTATGGAAGTTATAATATTATTTGACTTCATTGTAGGAAGCAAGAATAATTTTATATAACTTTTTTTTTTTTTACCAATAAATAATTCATCTCCTTAATGGGTTGGTTTCACAAAAACAGATTACATTCTTTCAATGAGATTTATTGTTAGACACATATTCATATATGTTATAATGATTTCTGACACAGGGTTATACAAACGAGTTATCTATGAATAATTTACTATTATCTTAAAATATTAAAGGTTTATTTTTTTATGTTCTGCATGTGTATCAAGCAAATAAAAGTTACTAATAAGTGTTGTATTTGACATCTGTATACTGTACTTTTTAGCATATTTCAAGTATTTTAGTCTCTATATAATAGATCTGATTAAAAAAACAGATATCAACCCCCAGACAGTTTGTCAAGACTAATATGAGTCCCCCTGGATTGGATTGACAATTTGTGTGAGGCTTCATATGATAGTCTTTTCATAGTCTTATTTGATCCTTAACAATTGGACATTAGTCACTGATTTATTTTATAATAACTCAGATGAGTTGGATATTATTATATTGTGTTGGACATTTTAGTGGATTTTCTTGTTTACAAATTTTACTCAGAGCACACATTGGATATAAATGATGTATTCAGCCTGCTAGGGGAGTACTAACAACTGATTGGTTAGGTTTGAGAGCAGCATGGGAAGCCTGTTACTATCCCCTAGCTGCAAACCATATTTAACTCCAGCCTTAATGAGGACTGCCTGTCCTAAAGGCTTTGAAAAATCCCAAATGCTTAACATTCCACTGGCATGTTTTTATTTATTTGTGACTAAAAATGTGGATATAAATAAGTATTTTATATGGAGTATTTTTAACAATCTTAACATATAAAAAGGGATTTAAGGAATTTTTAATATGTTTTATGATTTATGTTTTTTGACTCTCAAAAACAAAAGTTATAAAATGTAATCCCAGGGTATTCTATTTTGAATTACTTGTATTTTTTCCCCCCCTCAACAGTTTCTTTCCCCCTTCTTGTCTTTTCCTCTTCCCTCAATTCCTTAGTAAGCCCATGTATATTAAATACTTTTGGTTTGGCAGTTGTCATTCTCTGATATCAAAAGAATGTTAATGTCCCGAACTGACTTTGTACTGAAACGTACTAAAAGTTTTTGGAATTCTCTTATAACCTTAACTAGCAGTTCTTTTTTTTTCTCTCTCTCTCTCTTTTTAAGATTTAGTATATTGTAAGAAATGCTTGAGGATAGTTAATGAGATTTTTAGTGTAGTTTTTAATTTTTATTTAAAATTTATTCATGAAGTCAGTGTGTTTATCAACCTCTGCAAAGATGTTGCCAATCATTCCATGCTACTGGCCAACCCCTTAAGGACTGACCAGTATGACATTGGAAGGGGAGGGCTGAACCAGACACTAGAGTCATCTCTGTGCGTGTGTTTAGGGCACAGTGTGAGCACAGTGTCTTTAAATCCAGCATTTTTGTTTAACATTGTGATGTGGTATCAAGGTTTAAGCATCTAAATCTAACCAACTTCAACATTTCGAATATGCGTAAAAAACTAATCAACATTAGTAAAACAATTCTTTGTTTGATGACAGCAAAGTAAAATTGCTCTGGTTTTTAGGGGCTTTAATATTGAGAAAATTCATTTGTACTTTGTCATTTGCTGAGCCTTCTAGAATTTTATAGTTTCAAATCACAATACTAGGGACACTTGGGAGACTCCTGACTGTTTTATCTTATTAAACAATTTTGAAATCATTAATTTTTAATTAGCTTGGATGCAGGGTTTTTATAGTTTCAATAATGTGTGTATGTGAACTAAACGTTTTTTATTTAAACTACTGGCGAGAGTATTATTTACATAAATAAGTGTAGGTTCTTTCCCAGAGTACATACTGTGAGTTTGCTTCATATGGTTGTACTTCTTTTTTTCTTTCTTTTTTTTTTTTGTAAATTCAAATATTACAGAGCTTTTCAGCAGTTTATGGACTCAGATTTTGAACAAATAAAAAGGGTGTAATCTCAAAGATATGTAGAGGTTCTTCCCTGATTGAAAGTTCTAATTAAGTGAATTGGAGAAAATTAACTGAAATTAGCTGTCAGAAAGTCACATTTAAATGAGTGATGAGCTAGTCTGGCAGTAAACATTTAAATGATATAAATTGCCATTTAAGTGTATGGTTTAATGTTTGTCATGCATTAATGTGACATGAGACTGTAGTGACAATCAAGCAGCTTGCTCTAATTTGAACATATTTAGGGCTTTTGTGTGGAGTGCACTGCACACAAATTAAGACAATTGCTGTTTTTATGTGTCACTTTAAACATGTCCCCCACCCCCCATTCCTACCCAATGCCTGAGTTAATGAAACAAATGTATCATTTTGGGGTGCAACTTGCATTAATAGTTCCTGGATTTGGGGATTGATTTTTTTTTTAAAATCCGTGTACTTAAAATAGAAATTTACTTTATTACAAACCATTCTCTACTTATATCAAATAAAATATGAAGCAGTCTTGTGTTCTGTTAGCTATTTACTAAATGTATAAATATGAGTTTTACAAGAAATTTCAGATAATAACTTCCACTATTGGAACACGCTAAATTTTTTTTTTTAGGTATACTTTATTTCACGTATACTTTGCAATATGACAATTACCTAGAGTTTTATTTACAGAATTATTTTTTATATTTTAAAGTACGCCATATATTGTGAATCCAAGTTAAATATTATTAGTTAAAGGAAATAATTATTAGTTAAAGGAATTCGGCCAAAAACATCTTTCTTATTCTTAGGCATTTATTTTAATAAACCAAATATTTGCAGAAATGTACACCTGTGAACTAATAGGAACTTATTTTGTTATGAGATGGTTTATTTCTTACTCATTGCTTCCTATAGAAGTTAGTCAATTTTGTTTTAGAAACAACAGGCTTCTTTTTATAATATGGATAACATACCAAGTCACACCAAAACACATCATAGCCATACACTTATTAATCTAAAAATAAGAGTTTCAATGAGACATGTCACCTGATAGAACTTGGTACACTTCGGATCACTCTTCAGAGTTTGAGTCTGAGAGATCTGTGATTTGAATAAGAGATAAAGTAGTCCATAATACTAAACTTTTATATAGAAATAATATTGAACAATAATAAATAACATAAATACTTGTCTCAATAATGTCTCCAGTTTTCTTCTTAAACTCTTATTTTTAACTTGATTAAATTTAGCAAACATTGGCATCTATTGTGTTTTGGGTACAGTTCCCTTAGCTGGGAATGTAATGATCTGGAAGTGGATCGGCACCCAGCATTTTACTGAATACTTAATTATGTTCATTCATTATTTATTGGACACTGTTATGGTGCCAGAATCAGATAATTTGGACTTGTTTGATATTAATACCTAGGAATCCAATAATTATAAGTATCCCTCCTAAGATCTCATTTGTTGGCATGAAAATTCAGTTGAAGTAACTAAATGCTTTGGTTACAGATGTCGCATGCAGTAAAAAAAAGTTTATATTTAGAAAATTATAAATATTCTAAGTGGACAGTGAATTTTAATGTTTTCACATTTGCTGTGCTACAGTAGCCTTTACATTATATGACCTATCTTTGAAGCATAAATTGAGTACCTGTCAGGCCTTGAGTTACAAATGTGACCAAGATGGAGCCTCATCCCTGGTCTTCACTGTGCTTACTCACAGTATGGTAGAATAACACCAAAATGTGGATGGTAACAGTCTATTACAATTCAGCGTGACAAGTGCTGGAAAGACTCCAATTATAAATAAGCCAGAACAGGTTCTGGTGGAAAATAGGACATCACTGTTGACAGTAAATTTAGCATCAAACTACTGCTTGTTCTCAATTTCTCTACATATTTTAAAAATAGAATTTCGCATAATAATACAACCTATGCCCTTTTTCAGGCCCTGGAAAGTGAATTTGTTTCCTGCCAACTTCACCAGTGGATTGATCTCATTTTTGGCTATAAACAGCAAGGACCAGAGGCTGTTCGATCCCTCAATGTCTTCTATTACCTGACCTATGAAGGAGCTGTCAACCTGAATTCAATAACTGATCCTGTGCTGAGAGAGGTAATTATCTGACTGGGGTTAACAGGTGTCTTTAGAATAGAAGGTACTAGATGTCATCTTCCTCCTACTTTCATTTGACTAAAGATGAAACTGAAACCAGTGGATGAAGTATCTTAAGCAGGATAACCTTCCAGTTAGAGACTTAGTTGGGACTTGAACCCAGGACTTTCTTCTAATAAAATGCTTGATTCAATAAAAAATGAGAGCTTCTTCAAGTTGAACCCATGAAGGGATAAATAATAATACTTATAATTTTTATAACTCACTAATTTTAAAGTATTAGGAAATAATTTATTAAAGAAATAAGACTGTAAGCATAAATCTATTTAAATCTTAATAAAACATATCCTATGTAATAAAAGCCTAAAATGCAAATCGACCAAATGGTGGAACAGCCAGTCGCTATGATGTGCACTGACCACCAAGGGACAGACGCTCAATGCAGGAGCTGCCCCCTGGTGGTCAGTGTGCTCCCACAGAGGGAGTACCGCTCAACCAGAAGCCAGGCTCACAGCTGGCAAACGCAGCAGCAGTGGCAGGAGCTCCTCCTGCCTCTGCTGCAGATAGGCGATAAGGAGCAAGGGGTCCCAGACTGTGAGAGGGATTGGGCCTAAGCCAGCAGGCAGACATCCCCCAAGGGGTCCTGGACTGTGAGGCAGAACATGCAAGCCAGGCTGAGGGACACCCCCCCCCACACACACACACGTAGTGTACGAATTTTGTGCACTGGGCCTCTAGTATTTATATCTAATACCTAAGAACCTGTATAGCCATAGAGAAGTTAATAGTAGGAATGAAGTGTAACATTCTCATACATTATCTTTATTCTTGAAAGTCTTACAGATGTCCCCTTTATTTTTTCCCATTGACCCCCTCCACCCTGTACCCACCCCTCCCAGTCCTTCACCACACTATTGTCAGTGTCCATAGATTAGGCATATATTGCATATAAATTCTTTGGTTGATCTCTTCCTACCCACCCCTGCCTTCCCTCTGAGATTTGGCACCTATTCCATGCTGCTATGTCTCTGGATCTATTTTGTTCATTAGTTGATTTTGTTCATTAGATTCCACAGATGAGTTAAATCATGTGATATTTTTCTTTCTCTGATTGGCTTATGTCACTTAGCATAATCACTTTAAAGAAAACATTATGTGTAATAAGTAAGGTTTGTCATTTTTCACCAATACTCAATACATTCCTTTATAATTCTGTGTATGACCTTGTCATGTTGACAGTGCATAATAAGCACATATTTTTAAAAATATATTTTTATTGATATTAAAGAGAGGAAGAAGAAGAGATAGAGAGATAGGGACATCTATTGGCTGGCTCCTCTATGCCTTTACTGAGGGATCAAGCCCACAACCTGGGCATGTGCCCTGACCTGGAATCAAATCCTGACCTCCTGGTTCATGGGCTGATGCTCAATTACTGAGCCACACTGGCCAGGCACTAAGCACATGTTTAACTATAACATTCCCACCCCCAGAGCTGTGGTCAGCAAACTGTGGCTTGAGAGCAACATGCAGCTCTTCGGTCCCTTGAGTGTGGTTCTTCCACAAAATATCATGGCCTGGGTGAGTCCATTTTGAAGAAGTGCCATTAGAAGAAGTTTAAGTTTAAAAAAATTGTCTCTCAAAAGAAATTTCAATTATTGTACTGTTGATATTTGGCTCAGTTGACTAGTGAGTTCGCCGACCACTGCCCTAGAGCAGTGTTTCCCAAACTTTAGACATATGTGTACCCCTTCTATAATTTTCGTAACGCTGAGTACCCCTCATACTCATGAGAACGTAGAATTAGGTGCAGCTAAGCACGGTGCAGTGCATATCCCCACCAAACTCCGGTGCAACGCGTACCCCCACCAAACTTTTCCCATACCCCTGAGGGTACGCGTACCACACTTTGGGAAACACTGCCCTAGAGGATTATATGAGGTATAGCGCATGGTAGGTGCCTAGTGGGCCCTATGCCATCATAAGTACTCAGCAAGTGTTAGTTCCTTCTCTTGTGTTGTTTACTGTTAAATCCCTGGGCTAGGAAACACAACTATAACGAGAATAGGAATTGCTGATTACATCATAGAAAGAATCATAAAATGTTAACATCAGAGAAGTTATTAGAGACTGTTTCCTAGAGGACCCATGCAGAGCTTACTGTGAAGTGAACCAAGGAGAAACAAAACAAGAATAGGTCATTAATTCATTTATTTTTCAACAACCTTTCACTAAACCCAAAATTGTGTAATAAGGTTAAAGAATTGAAGGCCTTACCATCATCAGCTGGAGTTCACTGTCTAGTGGGGAAATATTTGTGGGTAAACAAGTATAATATGCTGTAATAAATTCAGTATAGGGTTAAGCACACTGTATGTATGTACAAGAATAGAGGGTTGGTACTAACCCCAGGCAGGAGAATCCAAGCTTGTTTTCTGAGAAATGAGAGGCTGGGGCTGTAGGTTGAAAGATGAATAAGAATATTGGGTAGAGTCATGAGCAAAGGATAGGTACACAGAGATGAAAGAGATTATAGCTGGAGAATGAAATGAACCGAAAGTGATAAGATGATATAGACAGGAGCCAGGCAACCAAGAAACTTAAATGCCACAAAAAGTATTTTTACCTGTATTATAAAGCAATGGATTGAAGGTTGGTTACACCACATGTATGGTTTTTTAGAACGTCTAGAAGATTGAACAGATAAGAACTAAAAAGTACCCATTGGATTATTCTCAGAGTCCTTGGTGACCTTAGAGAAAGTAACTTAGACAGTACAGGGCTGTGCTGTGAATGGTTTCTGAGCAAGTAAACACTGTGGGAAAGGAAATAATTGAAGGGAGAATTTTTAATAGCTTTATTGATATTTGGCTCACAATTGACACAATTTGCCCATTTAAAGTGTCCAATATAATAGTTTTTTGTATATTCACAGTTTTGCAAGCATCACTACAATCTCATTTTTGTCACCCCAATAAGAAACCCCATACCCTTGAGCAGTTACTCTAAGGGAGAGCTTTGCTGTTTTGTTTGTTTGTTTGTTTGTTTTGGGGGTTAGTATATAGATTTGCATTTTTATTTTACTAAAAGTTTCCTGTCCCCCTCCTTCCTTTCTGGATATTGGGAAAGAGGTCTGACCCTTTCCTTTCAAATGATCTCCCCCCTTCCCCCCCTTCGCCCCACTGCAATGGGGAAAAGTAAAATCTAAACTAAAATTTTTTAGAAGTACTTCAAGAGATTTTTTTTTTTAAATGGCTAGATATTTGATCATGTTTCTGTGTTTATTGAAAAGGTCCAAAAAGAGGAAAGATGTCAAGCATACAGGAAAGAAAGCTCGTAATAGACTACTGAACTCTGAGAAAGAGGACAGGAACACAATCCAGAACACAGATAAGCCCTGGTCAGCAGGGAACAGTAGTGCCTTGTCTGAGATTAAAGAGGTCAGCCTGGGACCAGTATGAGAAAGTGTGCCTGAACTGGATGGGAAGGCAGGAAGATTATGAGGATTTGAGATAATACTTACGGACATGCCTAACATAGTGATGGGTCTTTAACAAATTCCCAATAATTAATTAATTAATTAATTAATTAATTAATATTTTCTTTGCACTTGGTTTCTCCTGTGTTCTCAACAGCAAGAGAGCAGGTGTAGGGAAAAGCTTAATAGAGAAAGGAGTGTGTGTGTGTGTGTGTGTGTGTGTGTGTGCACGCGCGGGCAAAGTATATATGCAAAGGGGGGGGGGAGAGAGAGAGAGAGAGAGAGAGAGAGAGAGGGAGGGAGGGAGGGAGGGAGGGAGGGAGGGAGGGAGGGAGGGAGGGAGGGAGGGGATTTTACCAGGAAATATGGTGGAATATGTAAAAAAGGATTGAATGTGGAAGGGTGATTGATGATATTGTTAGAGGGATACTACTGAAATGGAGGATCTAGGCTAATTTGGATAGATCTGGAAGGGGCTGATGAATTGGGACAGTTTATTCTTTTATTCATTATTCATTCACTTATTCAACAAATATTTATTTTTGTTCAAGGTGCTGAAAATACAGAGATAAACAAGAAAATTAGACAAAATCCCTTTCAGGGAGCTCACTTTCTAATGGGGTGCACAGAAAATCAACAGTAAAGACTAATTTCATTTAGTAATAAGTGATATGAAGAAAATAAGACTGGGTGAGGGGATTCAGAGTGCCTGGGGGTCGTAGGCACTGTTTCAGAGGTTGCCCACAGATGGCCTCTTCCCTCATACACTGTTTCCTTCTAAACCTTGATGGTGGAGCAAAGCTATACACAGAGACTCAGGGAGGCAGGTCCCACTGCTCTCACCCTGGCCAACCACATGCCTGCACAGCCTCCAAGTCAAGTCTTGTCACAGGCCTCCTGCCAATTGTAAAACTCCCACTATTGCCATCCCCTAATTTATTTCCACCCCACTTTTCAGGCTACACCAACTTTTCTTCCAAATCTCGTTCCTCTGAGATGCTTTAACATCTTCAATATTAGTAGATTTGTGTATATACTTGACTTACATTAAAATAATACAGGCCCAGTGCACTACATTCATGCACTGGGGGGGTCCCTCAGCCTGGCCGTTGCCCTTTCGCAGTCCAGGAGCCCTTGGGATGTCCATCTGCTGTGAAGGTGGGAGAAGCTGCCACCACTGCCTCTGGGCTCGCCAGTCATGAGCCCGGCTGCTGGCTGAGTGGTGCTCCCCCTGTGGGGGAGTGCACTGACCACCAGAGAGCAGCTTCTGTGTTAAGCATCTGCCCCTTGGTGGTCAGTGTATCATAGCAACCAGCCATTCTGCCATTCGGTCGATTTGCATATGAGCCTTTAATTATATAGGATTATTTCTGCAAAACCACAGTAATGATTCCAGCATAGGTTTGTGCCTTTCTAGTATTAAAAATAGACCAGACTAGACTTATTTCTGTTCAGTAGCTATATTTGCATATTTCTGGTCACTGCTCTTTAAACGTTAACTTGGGACACTTAGATGTTCACA